TTTTGAGAAAGTTTATTACTATATCCTGAAAAGTAATTCTAAGGTTATATAATTTCCAAGTGTACTACAAAATGAGCTACCCAGAAATATCCCGGGAAAATTCACTTTGATATCTTTCTTGCTAAACATCAAAGGTTTTACCAGTCTTTATTTGAGGACTGACTTTCTCTTCCTCAATATTTATACACTGAACTACTGTGTAAATGATAAACCTGCAGCATAATAATTGTAAATTTTCATTGCTTTTAGAAATGTTTGAATGTCTAGCTGCCACATTGCTGCCACATTTGAAATATGTTATTGTAAACTTTCAAGTGACATTGAGCCTGGGAAGGTCTCATCCACACTCACAGCATTTATTGCAGTAACCAGTCACATTTTTTAAGAGTACATTTACTATATAAAAATAATGCCTGGTATTTACAAAGTGCCTCATAATTTTTGAAGTTCTTTCGTGTAAATCACATCACATACATAATTCTATGAGACAAATGAGGCAAATAATTTTATTGTCAGCCCAAAGTTGGAAGGAAGGAAATTGAGGCTCAGAGAGGTTAAAGGACTTGCCCAAAGTCACAAGTCAGCACATGTGAAGTTGAACCTTGTCCCCAGGGATTTAATTCCAAAATCTGAACCCCTCCTGGAAGGTCATGCTGTCTTCACACTAGCTACACATTCACCATAGGCAGCAACCCTCCAGAATCTCAAAGCTCTTATAATAAACAAGTCTGTGAGCTTCATTTGTATCTGGGCAAGACTGACAAATGAATGTAAAGACACACACACACACACCCCTTGATAAAAACCTACAAGGAAAGGAGAAAAGGGATAGAACTCACACCGCATTGTTACCTACCTACCTAAATATAAGCTAAATAATCTACATTTGATTGCTAACATATGCTTAGACTAGGTAGATCCCAGCCACAAAATTGAAGCAATTACCTAGCTAATTCAAATTTGAGGGACAGGGGGAGGGTCACTCTTTTCAAGAGATGGGTTTGTATCCAAATTTTCCAGAGATTTGGTTGAATGTTTTCATCAGACTTCTCTCCAAGACCTTTATACACACCACGCCCTCTGTCTCATCCTTACCTCCTGTCACATACTCCTGTAGAACTAATTCAACCCTGACCATCAATCTAGAATTAGCTCAAAGATCACTCCTCCATGGAGAATGGTCCCTGACTTCTATCTCTACCCCTGTTCCACATACCTGTTTGATTTGATATCCACAAATGAGCCTCCTCCATCCCCCTAATGGCCTCTCCCAGCCTGATGCCAGTGAAGACAGGATTTGGATCTAGAATCCAGCTACAAACTCTTCCAAGGGTCTGCTGGACCTGTCTGCTGAAGTTCTCTCACTGTCAAGATCACGGACATATCAAAGTGTCATGCCCAGAGCCCTGAGCTTAACAAAGCAGCTATGGGCTATTCCTTGCCAATGAATGGCCACTATGTTGATGAGGAATGTCCACTATTTTTTTGAAATGACAACTACATCTGATAAAACATGCAAAACAGGACCCACCAGAGTAGGCAAAATTGACAACCAAAGCACATCAACCATGATTTTCTATGAAAAGCTGTTCCTACCTGAACCTGAGAAAGACCCCAGAAATAAGCCCCAAACAAATCCCAGGTGTGACATCACTTAAACATGTGGGATAAATGAGACATGTGTCATTATTTCATTCACTCATCTATCCATCCATTCAATAAATCGTTCAACAAATACTTATTGAAACTTGGGGAGATAATCACAAAAACAGACATTATCCTTGCCCTCATGGAACTCACAGTATAATAGGGGAGACAAATATAGAGTCCTACCATTGAATATAAGATTATATATATAATGCATGCATAAATATGGGTAAGATGGGACTCTTGGTGGGAACTTCACAGAGATAAGTGTTTCAGTATAGAAAGACTTACAACAGAAGCCTGAAGAATGAGGTTATAGATGAAGGTATAGAGAAATGGTATGTGTGTGTGGCGGGGGGAGCATTTGTGGAAGCAGAATGTGCAAAGGCCCAGGGGTGGAACACAGCTTAGCAAATTAAAGGGCCATTCAACAGTCCAGCGAGACTGGACCCCTAGGAACTGGAACTAAAGTGGATTGTGATGAGGCTGAGGACATATGTAGGTTGGGCCAGACCATACAGGACCCTGTAGACCACAGGTTACAGTAGGAATTCTGCATGCCACCTGAAGTCCAGTGGAAAGTAACTGCGGGGTCCCAAGCAAGAAATGCTCGTAATCACATCTGTAGGAGGCTAGAGGGTGATAGTGTTGTTATATTCCGAATGAGGAACCTCAATATTTAAGGCATACAATGGTTTTATTTCTCCAGCACTGGCTACCAACCATGTTCTAGAGAACCACTTCCCCTTTACTGCTAGAAAACAGATCTCTCTCCAACCCATGTGCTGTGAGCCCAGCACCAGGCCTGCCAGCACTGAGTAGAGAAGATCTGGCATAACGGTATGATATCAAAGACCTTTTGAGTCAGTTCTAAGAAACAATGACTGCATAGCAAGCCATCTGCTCAAATGAAACACCAGAGCAAGAAGATGTTAATCTAGGCTCTGAATGAAACAAGCTGGTCCAAAGATCCTGTAAGTTGTCACTCTCAACATCTTGAAATGCCTACTGTGGCTACAGGACATGCCCCTGGGTCCGTTTCCTGCACCCTTTGACCGGGTTAGGACCTACCCCTTTGAGCCCCTGCCCTGTGGTAGGCTCTCTGTTGTCACTACTTGTTAATGGTCTTGTCTTCTCCACTCAGCAGTAAGATCCACAGAACAAGAGAGGCATGCATCTTATTCGCTTTTTGGCTAATGCTCTTGTAGATGCTTAGTAATGGGGGGTTGTTTCATTTGTCCTCTGGTATACAACCCTCTGTGGTGTAATTGTTGATTCTTTTTCTACCTCCTTCTGTGGGTTCTCTGAGAGCATAGTCAATGCCACCATCTTTGTATCTCCAGTTGGCACTTGATATAGGATGGGTTATTTTTGTTAGTCAATTAATATGTGGATAAAGCTAATAATATAAAGGGTCTTCATTAATACAATCAAATCTACCTCTTCTTTAGTCAGGCACAGGATATACAAAACCACATCATCTGAGAATCTTGTATACCGTCAATACTCATCGGTGAGAGATGCTCCCTTAACATTGGTTGTTAATGCATTTCCACATATTAATATACACCCTTGGGGCACCTGGGTGGCTCAGTCGGTTAAGCATCTGCCTTTGGCTCAGGTCATGATCCCAGGGTCCTGGGATCGAGCCCCACATCAGGCTCCCTCCTCAGCCAGGAGTCTGCTTCTCCCTCTCCCTCTGCCTTCCCCCCAACACACAGCTTGTGTGCTCTCTCTCTCTCTCTCAAATAAATGAATAAAATCTTTAAAATAAATACGTATATATGTGTGTGTGTGTGTGTGTGTGTATATATATATATATATCGTAAAAGTGAATGCATATTAAAAACTGCATCCAGTTTTTTTATGCATTCCAGGGGCGCCTGGGTGGCTCAATCAGTTAAGCATCCTACTCTTGGTTTCAGCTCAGGTCATGATCTCAGGGTTGTGAGATCAAGTCCTGTGTCCAGCTCCAAGCTCAGTGTGAGATCTGCTTAAGATTCTCTCTCCCTGGAGGCACCTGGGTGGCTCAGTCGGTTAAGCTGCTGCTTTTGGCTCAGGTCATGATCGAGCCCCGCATCGGGCTCCCTGCTCAGAGGGGAGTTTGCTTCTGCCCCTCTCCTCTGCTCGTGGTTGCGCTCAGTCTTCTCTCTCTGTATGTCTTAAATAAATAAATAAAATCTTTAAAAAAAAAAACTGCTGAAGTCCAAATAAGATCTATAACTAGGATAACACTATTGAATCAATTTCCTAATGTTGACAAGGTACTATGTTTATATGAGATGTTATCTTTGGGGGAACTGGGAAAAGGGAACAGGCCATCTCTCTGATTTATTTTTACAACTTCTTTTGAGTCTTAAAACTTTTCAAATAATATATGATAACTTTTTTAAAAACAAATTTTTATTTTTTGTTCTTATATTTATACATCGTTATATTTTTATTTTCTAATTTTTTTTATTTTCGTACGTATTTCTAAAATAACAAAGAAACACCATCATGATTAAATGACACTCTCGTGCACAACACTAGCATACAGGAAAGGTAATGCCCTAATTCTGGGCATTGTTCTCTAAGTCTTATCAGGCTGGCATTTCAAAAATGCTGGAAGAGGAGGGAGGTGCATTACTTTTGCCTGATTCAAGCACATCCTCAAAATGATGTTTTCATAAACAAAATGCCGACGGCTATGATCTTATCTTCTCTTTTCCTTTTATCCTAATTCAGGTCAATAACAAGTATTTCTGCTCTCTTCTGCAGATTCCAGGTTGTGGAAGAAAGAGAGCTATTGCAAGCTATAGGGAATTGTTAGTGGAAAACTCACAAGAAGCCAGAGTGTCTTTAAACTTCTTTCTACTGTAGCATTATCTTAAAATAAAATAAAAAAAAGTCCAATTTCAGAAAGAGATGTTTCAAATAAATAAGGCTGGTGTTTACACTTTAACAGTGTTGCTGGAGTTTTTAAATTATGTGTTCAAGAGCCCACTGTTGGTTATATGGATAATAATGTGGGTCATTGTATCAAAACTCTCTGAATCACAGTAGGCAATTTTTCGACAATTGAGAAATCCGAAAACCGCCAACAAGAAATTCATAGGCACGTAGATTAAGGTAAAACTTCAGTTTGGCTTAAACATGTAAGTTCAAAAAGGACCCTGTCAGCATAAAAAGCTGCCGTTTCCAATACTATTCAGTTAGTAAGCTTCCTGCAGTCCATACCATGAGAATTAAGAAAAAGCCTGTACATATCATAAACATAAGGTCTCATTCAAAGATGAATGACATTCCCCCATATTCATCCCTCTTTTTCTGAAAATTGCAAGCACTTTGGTAAGTATCTCTAAGAAGCAGACCTGCACAGAAGTTGTCCTCGTTTTGTGCTAACTTGCTTAAATTAAGTTCAGCTCAAGGTATGGCATGCAACGTCATCTTAGCAACCCACGGGCTCGTGCAGAAAAGATTCGGCAGGATACACTATGATCACCAGGTGCAGGGAAAGAATGCCTGTCTGATTGCTAGAAAAGCTCATCAGGGAAGGCCATCCATCTTTACTTTTTCAGGATAACATCCCCAAGCTGTAAAGACAGAGTTTCACTTAATAAAAAAGGAGGAGAAAAAAAAATGCAAAAAATGTTCTTAATATTTGCCTTATCAATTCATGAATCAAAGAAAAAGGAACTATAATTACCTCTGGCTCTATCAGGACTGAGAGATTTCTTCCACATAACCTTTTCTGTGGCAGGAACAAAGCTTTATTCCAAAGGAAAAAAAAATCCACTTAAAAATATCCCAAAAGAGATTAAAAAAAAAAAACCTACAAGATTCTGTAGCTCTTTAATGCTTGCCATGGGCCAAATCGTACAATTAGAATCAGTCACTTTAAGTGCCGAAGTCATATAATGCTAATAGATCACTTTATAATGTGAGCAGTTTTTAAAAGTCGTATTTAATTTTCCATTATTACTGTACTGAATGCTAGCGGGTCCGTCCGTCCATAGACTCTTCTGTGCAGAGAGCGAGGGGACAGCCGGCTGCCGGCCGAGGCCCTGCTCGATTCTGGCCTTAATTCTCAGAGACCTAACTTGGAACTCCACGATAGACCACATTGCAGCCCTCTTCCCAAATGTGGATGAGGGCTCCTTTTGCTTTCATAATTATCTTATTTCAAAAAAAAAAAAAAAAAAAAACAGATCGAGGCAATAAGCCTCCGAGTCGTGTGGGTGTGCACACGGGCACGCGTGCACATCCAAGAGAGTGAGTGTGAGCACCACATGTGTGTGGCTTTCTTTAAGAAAATGAAATGAAGCATAAAATAAGCCCTGAACAGTAACCTAAGGAATAAAACAAAACCATTTACAACACATGGGATTGTTGCAGGATATGTCAAGATTAGATGGTTTAAGGGCGCTATCCTGAATGTGGAAGCAATTATAATGAAATTCATGACTCATTAGCAAACATTCCATATTGTGTTTCTCATTTCTGGGTCAATGTTACTGGGAAATATAGATTTAAGATTTAGATGTTTCGGGGCGCCTGGGTGGCTCAGTTGGTTAAGCGACTGCCTTCGGCTCAGGTCATGATCTCAGGGTCCTGGGATCGAATCCTGCATCGGGCTCCCTGCTCGGCGGGGAGCCTGCTTCTCCCTCTGACCCTCCCCCCTCTCATGTGCTCTCTGTCTCTCTCATTCTCTCTGTCTCAAATAAATAAATAAAATCTTTAAAAAAAAAAAAAGATTTAGATGTTTCATTGACTTCGGTGTGAGCTTATAGATAGTTGGACCATATAGGGACATAAAGCAAAGACTCCATGATTAAGTCCTTCATTTCTCAGATGTAGGCAATTTGGTCCTCAAGCTAAGGATGAACAAAATAACCTCGAAAGCATATTGGGAAGAATTAAGTTGGTGATGGAAGGGTTGTCTGCAAATGTAAAGTAGGACTTGCATGGTGCAAATATGAACTGGCGGATGTCAGGGGGATTTCACATGCACACTGCTTGGTATGCAAAATGCCTGGTGAACTCAAGTACCCAATACTGTACGTAATGGGAACCAGATGTCTAACAGAGAGAGAAAAATATTTTATAACAATAAATGTGACATTGACTCTTAAAGGGTTTTGCTGCTTTTAAACAGCTTCCCTGTCTTCCTCTCCCTCATATTTTCAAATAATTTAAAGTAGATCGTGTAAAGAAATTATTTTCATATTTGAAAAGAAAAACTGTTTAACCTGCCACAGACTTCGCAAATGCATACAGAAGGAGAAATGATCTGAAAAAGATAATTTGGGGAATTCATTCGTTTACCAAAGCATGGTGCTCAGCAATGCAAAAATAAAATTAAGGCAAATAAAGCATGATTCCTCCTGCCCCTTACAAACTTGAACTAGACAAGAGGCGGTAAGATGTGAACAGCTGTTATGGGGCATGGCAAAAGCAAGCCCTGGGCAAGAGACATGATGTGCCCTGAGAATTCAAACGAGCAAGAGGAAACTCCGGTGGCAGGCACATTCCACGAAGAAGGGTCGTCCTCCGTGTAACCCACACGCACCCCCTCTGCACTGCACGGACGCAGCCCAGTGTGGCCCTCCTGTTCTCCCACTGGCCACCGCAGTGGACACCCAGCCGCCTCGCTCTGTCTGCTGGCCTCTCCTGACCTCCTCCCGGAGCAATCCTGCCTTCACTGCTAGGATAGCAGTTCTAAAGCCTGGCAATCAAGTTGCGAGCTCTGTAGTTGAGCCCGGGGTCTACTTCCCGCTTTGCCACTTACTGGTTGTGACCTCGGGGAAGTCACTTAACCAGCCTCCTTCTATCTGCATTTTCTCATCTGTGAGGTGAGGGTAACGAAAGCACACGTCTTCTGGGGTTGGCGTCAGGATTGAATGAGGTTCTGCGCACAACATACTCTGCAAGGCACCACCGTGATGTCAGAGCACAGATAACAGAAACTCTTTTAGCTCTTCTTCTCTCGAGTATCAGATCCAGTTTTCACAGCAAGCAAAAAAAAAAAAAAAAAAAAAAATCTAAATTCCTTATTTTGGCATGCCAGGCTGCACAAAAGCTGATGCTTACATGCCTCTCCAACTCTTTCTCTCAGTCCCTTCCTTCAAATGCCCAACTCTTCTCCTGTCCTGTCTGCTTGTCATCACCCAAGCAGGCCTCTGTGTTCCAGCCCCCGGACCTTTGCACATGCAATTCTGCCCACCATGGATGGTCCTCCCTCCATATTTTAAGCATATTTAAGCATATTTTTGCTTACCCTGTAGTCCTCTGCTCTAGCAGACCTCTCTGTGTCTTCTCTGAGAGCCCGTGAAAAAATAAATACCCCCTTAACTAGGCCTATCGTCAGAAGCTCATGGCTCATACAGATAGCAGCAAAAGGTAGTACACTAGGGAGTGGTAGGGACTGTGCCAAAAAAAGAGAACTGGTGCCCTAGCTAAAGGGTCAGCCACGCCTCACTGTTGCCATGGTAACATGAGGCCTCAGTATTGCCAATACTTCCATTTTTTTTTTTCAAGGTGAGACAGAAATCTACATTTTTACCTGAAATCTCCAGTCGTTCATTGTTGGCAACTAAAAATGTTTTGAAATGCTGTAACCTGGGACCCATCAAAACCCTCTGGAGACCATCAGACTAACTGCGTAGACCGTGGCTCAGGGATTTCCTTACAGATACACTCTTCCATTCTGGCAAATGTAACTATGACCTATAATTGCTTGTACATCTGCTTGTCCAACAGACAATGTTCCTTGAGGCAAGGAGCATGTTGGGTGTGGGTTTTCTTCATCTTTCCCAAGCTGAATAAAAAATTGGGAAAGGCTGGGTTGTGGACATCTTACAAGATTCAATGAAAACAGTGACAGCTTTGAACTCTTCAAATGTCCATAATCTGTGACCGGATGATGCAACTCCTAGGCATTTAACTCAAGACAATCACATGTAAATATTTGGGGATGTTTGTCACAGCTTTGGTTCTAATGCTGAAAAAGTATGGGGCTGTTTCATGAGCAATTACAGAGGATTTAGGATTGTGATAATTAATAATCATAGGCAAAATTTATCGAACCTGACTTTTGTGGCAGACTGTGTCCCAGGAACTTCCGATTCCTTACATCACTGGACCGCATTGTTATATCCATTTTACAGATGGGGACTGTGAGACAGATTGTTTAAATAATTCGCCCAAGTCACATAGCAAACTACGTGACAAGGTACGTATTTGGACTCAGTGTTAATGCCAGAGTTTAAGCAGGATGCTCCTCTTTCCCCATAAATATTCAAGCCTACCTTCTCAGATACTGTTAGGGGGAGATGTCAGAACCCCACAGACACAGCTCTACCACTAAGGGAGGATTTGAGATATGAATAAAAGGTTAGAACACAAAATTCACCACAGAAATTAGAGCCAGGATCCAAGGAAGCCTCTAGACTCCTGTGTCTTCTCTACTTGTCTCTCACAAACCACCATCTCCAATAAAGTTTTAGCCTTCAAAGTGAAAATTCTAATCCCACTTTGATGTGATATTATGGCCCCAGATCCCAATATCATCTGATTTAACACTAAGGAAAGAGCAGGTACTGCCCCAGCTAGGGCCTGATGGCCCAGACTGGTCCAATTAGCTGGGGCCAGAGGCTCTAGTTTTGTAACAATTGATTCTATAAAATAGCAAATAACTTGGAGGAAAGCATTGCCCATCTGAGTAGTAATTCTGTTTTTTCCTAAATAAAAGTTTAAACATGGAGGGAAAAAAGTAACCCACACCAAGGTCTTAACAATGTTTATACCCACAACAGTTGTTTTCTTGGTTTTGCTTCTTTTGTGTCTTCTAAATTCTCTACAGTGGATATATATCACTTTTATACTAAGAAGAGAAAAGGACCCCAACCTACATGGGGATTAAAACGTGAATGTCTAGGGGCACCAGGGTGGCACAGTCAGTTGACTGTCCGACTCTCGGTTTCGGTTCAGGTTATGATCACAGGGCCCTGGGATCGAATCCCGAGTCGGGCTCCATTCGCTCAGATTCTCTTTCTCTCTCCCTCCACCCCTCCTTGCTCATGCTCTCTCTCTCCCTCTCTCTCTAAGATAAATAAATAAATCTTTAAAAAAAAAGTGAATGTGTACAGTTAGTAATATTTGGAGACCAGAGACTGAGATGCAGAGAAAAAGGCTCTACTGATGATGGGATATAGGATACTCTTACCAGAGAAAGGTCAGCAGCTGAGCAGCAAACCCGCCTGAAAGTCCATGGCTGTGGACGAGGCCTCACCATGAAGATGGTACACCATCAAAGCTGTATCTGATGGAGATGCTGGGCGTCGGGCACACCAGGGCCCACTGACCTGGGACACCATGCAGGACAAATGGCACTTAGGATAAGACAAGTCAGAGCAGAGAAGAAAGGCATGAGCTACCAGAATATAAGACATGGTTTTAGAAGGCAAGAGACAATGGCCACAAAGAGGGAACCCAACACGAAGATACATATGTCAAGCAGTCCAGTGAGGAGGGGGACAAGGAAGGGCAGGAGAGGTCACTGGTCTGAGAAATGGCCATAGAGAAGCAAAAAGTAAGAAGGGGAATGGGAGGTAAATCTTTTTCATGCACGGAAAGCGTACAGTGATGACCAAGGAAGATAGAGGGATGGAGAGAGTTTTAGGACCACAGAAGAATAAAGTTGTTGAAAGGGAGGACCGTTGGTGGAATAAATGTGAGGCCAGGGAAGAGAAAACAGGTAACAAGATAAGAAGTTATTAAGAACAGGGCACCTGGGTGGCTCAGTTGGTTGAGCGGCTGCCTTCAGCTCAGGTCATGATCCCAGGGTCCTGGGATCGAGTCCCACATCGGGCTCCCCGCTCAGTGGGGAGTCTGCTTCTCCTTCTCCCTCTGCATGCTGCTTTGCCTACTTGTGCACTCTCTCTAAAATAAATAAATAAAATCTTCAAAAAATTAAAAAAAAAAAAAAGACGTTATTAAGAACAAACGTTAGGGCTTGAATAAAGCTGGCCTGAACACCCACTCCAGAGTTAGGGACTGTTAGCCCCTGCCATCTGGTTTGCCTCTAACATGCTCCAAAAAGAGAAGAGACCAGAGGCCTTCCTACCTACCCTCTGCCCCTGGCCTCTCCACATACAAAAGTTCATCTTGTACCCCATTTGGTACATATTCTGCTATCACCTCAGCGTTCTGGAGAATGGACATTTCATTCCTTTGCGCTGATTACTTCATTGACTTGCATAGCTCCAAGTAGACAAGAAGCTCTTCTGGTTTGAAGGTTGAGAACACGTGACATCGTGATTGGACATTTTAGCAGTTTTAAGACAGACACAAGTTCTCAAACACTCCTCAAATCCATAGGAAGGGTCTATATGCCTTCTCCTTGAATCTGAGCTGACCTTACTGACTGGTGGACCCACAGAGTATGTGCGTGGGCCAGCCCAGAAAGGAGCGTTCAGCTTCTACCTCGTTCTCTTCAGATACTCATCTCTGGAGCCCTGAGAAGCCAGGAAAGGAGTACAAGGACGAACTGCTGTGAAAAGTGACCGGACATTCCGGCCAATGGCCCTAGCTGAGGTTCCTGCAAGGGCCAGCATCAGTCCCCACGTGTCAGTGGGGAAGCCTTAGAGGTGACCCCAGCCTGGGCCACCCGCAGACCTTATCCTCATGAAAGGCTGCATGAGACCCACACTGCTGAGCCCAGTCAACACTCAGCACCACGACAGATAATAATAAAATGATTGTTGCGGTTTTAAGTAAATAAATTTTAGGGTGATCTGTCATACAAAAATCGAGAACTGGAACAGACATAGTTGGTTCTCAAAATATCTGTTAAATTTAATTTAACAGCAAGGGCGCCTGGGTGGCTCAGTCTGACTCTTGGTTTTGGCTCAGGTCATGATCTCAGGGTCATGGGATGGAGCCCCACGTTGGGCTCTGCCCTGGGCATGGAGCCTGCTTAAGATATTTTCTCTCCCTCTCTGTGTGCCCCCCCCCCCAGCGCACTCTCTCTCCCTCCCTCCCTCTCAAAAAAAAAAAAAATGGAATTCAACAGCAGATAAGGGAAGGCAGCATTATCTCTTGATCTTTTTCTCTCTCTTTGTCTAACCCTCCAGCCACTATCTTTTCTGTTCCTTAATCAGGTTCTTTTTGTACCCTGGTCCTTTCCCCATCCCATTTTCCTTCTCTCTCTCTCTCTCTCTCTCTCTCTTCAACTTCAGAACTCTCCCCTTTTCTTAATGGTCAGGGGACCTGTAGAAGAGAGAGCCACATTCTCTCCATACCTATAAAAGGCTTCTGTTTTCTCTTTTTGGCACAAATAAGCTTAAATCCTTTAAAAAAAAAAAAAACTGTTCCCATTTTTTCATTCTTTACTGACTTTACTCCTCCTTCCTGAATGATCTCTGGGTCTTGTGTGCACTTTTTAGGTTGTAAGAACTATGAATAAGATATTCTCCCCAGTGATGACCTTGGCTAGACTCTCGGCCCCCTCTGGAAAGCATTATTGTTTTGGCCACCCTCGGATTTCTTGTAGCTGTCCTGCCCATCAGCTGCAGGAGTCCTGACTCGCTTCCCCAGCCAGGACAAGGATCTGCGGGCTACAGCTGCATCCAGGGCTTGAATGGGAAGATAGCAAGCCAGGTGGTCAGGATCGCTGTGAGGATGCCCCCCGAGAACAGCTTCAAATGAGGCCTCCCAGGAGGGGTGCCCAGACGCTGTGGCCTGGAGACCGCCTGGTCACCTTGCTCAGAGAGGGGGTGACCCGCACAACAGTCACTGAGCAACTGATAAAGCATGGACGCTGGGGGACAGGCAAGAACCCAACCAGGAAGGTTCTCCTCCCTCCGTGGAAGGAAGTGCCTTCCATCTGTGCTGCCCCTTGGGGGTAGCCTGCATCACCCCTTCAAAATGTCACCTGGGACAAGCCCCGGTGGGTGCATGTGGCCAGATTCGTGCCCTTGCACACATGCACAGAACTCAGGGGGAGCACAGAGCAGCTCCATGGAGAAACCAAGAAGCGTCCACCAGGAATGGCAGGCATGTTGCTACAAAGACCGCGTGCAGGGTTGGCTGACTGCACCAACGGCCGGCAAAGTAATATCATCTCAGGTCAAGGAGAAAGCCTCACAGCCCAAAATAGCCGCCCTTCCCAGTTGCCACAGGCTCTAAAATTATACCATTGAAGATTTATTCCTTTGCACACCTCATTTTCATTGGGGGTCGGTCCTGCACGGGGGGGCGGGGTGCGGGGCAGCGGAGGGGAGAACCCACAAATGTCTTCACATGAAGGTGTAAAAGGCCTGCCAGGTCCACAGAGTTCTGTGGAGGCGGGAATGGAGGGAGGTGTTGAAAGGGGAGGAAGAAGGCAGAGGACGTGTGGGTGAGGGAAACCAAAAGGAAACTTCTCCTATTTCAGCGTTTTACCCAGAAGGAGCCCGGCTGGCAGCTACCTCATAAAACCGAGGCCTGAACAATTTGCCAGTAAATTTGAACCATGCATGTAAACAACGCTAATAATTTACTCCTTGAAATGCCTTTCTAATACATGATTATGCAGAGCTGCATAATCTACTTCAAACTGCCTAAATGGAAAAAAACAAAAAAAAGTAAATTAAGGGGCAATTAGAAAGAATAACAGGAGGAAGCATGAGGAAATGCCATATGCCTATCATGCTGGAACGCAGAGGGAAACTCCAAGCAGGTAATCAGATCATTTCAGCCAAAGCCTCCATTTTCTGGGGGGGAAGGATCCCCTCGGAAATTCAGGCAAAGCCTCTGTCTTTTTGTATAGAAGTTTGGTTAACCTGACCCTGAAGGACCAAGCAGTAAACAAAATAAAAGCAAGCAGTCACTATTGGAAATACACCTCCGGTCCCCTATTTCACCTAGCAACAGCCCCCACCTGATTCCATTTTTATTTTTTTATTCTTTTTTTTTTTTTTAATTGTTTTAAAGTAGGTGCCATGCCCAGCGTGGAGCCCAATGCGAGGCTTGAACTCACGACCCTGAGATCAAGACCGGAGCTGAGATCAAGAGTGGATGCTTAACTGACTGAGCCACCCAGGCGCCCCCACCTGAATTCATTTTTAAAGCCCTTAAGAAATAGGTATTATCGCGCCCCCCCCTTCTACCACCCTCCTATCACTCCCCCTTCTCCCACCCTCCTCACCTAAGCCACTTCTGGGGCAGAAAGCTAAGTACCACAGATGCCACTAATGAGCTTTAGGCAGAGGCAGGGATAAAAATAGGGAACAAAGAAAACCAGGAAGGAGAAAAACAAAAGGGTGTTCAGGGCTGAGAACAACCCGTTCCCTCCTGAATGACCAACATTTCTACACCATTTGGTAGTTTATAAAGAACTAGCTGCTACATAATTTTATCTCCAATGCTCCAAACCCCATGAAGCAAGGAACATTTTTTTTTAAAGATTTTATTTATTTTTTTGACAGAGAAAGAGAGAGAGAGCACAAGCAGGAGCAGGGGGAGAGGGAGAAGCAGACTCCCCACTGAGCAGAGAGCCCGACACGGGGCTCGATCCCAGGACCCTGGGACCATGACCTGAGCCGAAGGCAGACGCTTAACCGACTGAGCCACCCAGGCGCCCCAAGGAAATTTTACTCCCATTTTTATGAATGAGAGCACTTTGGAGGAGAGACCAGGTGACTTCCCCGAGGTCACACAAGGAAAGTAGCTGGGGACGTGGGGACATGGGAAGGGTTTGACGCTGAGCCTAACTCACTCTATTTTTTCTACTCCAACAGTCTTTGGAGTTACAGGGCGTAGGGATTCAAGATATGTTACTCCTGGGTCTATGAGGAACTTACTGATTTCTGAAACTACAATTTCCCTCCTCAACCTTGATCCTTTCATTCACTCAGTGAGTAAGGATGGAGTCTCGCCTCATGCCTGGCATTGTCTAGGAGCATAAGTTCACCCTCATGGAGATAGCACATAGATGATTCCCTGATGGCCAGCTCAACTGGCCCCATTTCAGAGAGCTGCTCTCTGACCATACAATCTGAAATGGCCCCTGCCATCCTCTGCCAATCACTCTTGCCCAATTTTCCCGTAGTACTTAAGACCACCCAAAACCATGTAGTTCATCTTTATTCACATTATTTCTGCTTGTCTTCTCTAGAAAATTAGGTCCTTCAGAACAAGGACCCTGCCTCACTCAAAGCTGTCTCTCCAATACTTAGAACAATTCCGGCACACAATACGTGCTTAATAAACATTTGTCCATCAAGTGACACTGAATGTCAAAGAGACCTTTCTTCCGGGGCCTACTGTGTGTCCGAAGTAGTATGAGACCGTTTAGATCGATCATCTCATTGAATCAAGATGATATATGCCAAAAAAGGAAACAATATGAAGAAGGCGGAGTTTTAATAATGGCGGAGTGCTTGGAAAAATTAAAGCTGAATTTGTAATGCCTGGACCTTGGGCCCCTTAATGCAAGAACAAGGGCCATGTTGTGACGTGAAAAGGTAACAAATTTAAAATGAATAAAAGGAAACACTTTTTTTAAAACAGCGTATAATCTACCTGTGGAATTCACTGCCGCAGGATATTATTGAGGCAAATAGTCTAGCAAGATTCAAGAAAGGATTAGACATTTATATGAATAGGAATAATATTGGCAGTTACACTAACTAGGTTAAAAAGTTACAAGGCATGTCCGTCCTGGGCTCCAGGGCATAACTGTTCACCAGCTGGGGTGAGGAAGGAATTTCCCCTTGTGATGGAGCATTGCAAAATTGGCCAGATGCACATTGGCTCATATTTTTGCCATCTTGTGTAACAGAGGCAGAGACCACTGCCCAGGGGAAGTTCCTGAGAAGACAAACCAATGACCTCTTACCCTGGTATTTTTGACTCCCTTCTTTTTTTTTTTTTTTTAAGATTTTATTTATTCATTTGAGACACAGAGATAGAGAGAGAGAGAGCAAGAGCAGGGGGAGAGGCCAAGGGAGAGGTAGAAGTAGGCTCTCCGCTGAGCCAGGACCTCGACTTGGGGCTCGATCCCAGGACCCCGGGATCATGACCTGAGCCGAAGGCAGACGCTTAACCATCTGAGCCACCCAGGCGCCCCTCCGACTCCTTTCTTGCACAATCCCGAACAACAGGTACAGAGGACACATAAAATCTTTTGGGACTCATACCTGAAAATGTTTCCATTTGGGGAACGGTGAAAAATAATTTTCTTCACCCTGATGGTGAAAAGATTTCATGGAATGAAATCAGGCCCCAGCGGTAACCTTATTAGTAGCACAGCCAACCGTGCCTGGAAGGTGCCCGCCTGAGCATTTCCCAACCTCAGCACATTGGAGTCCTGGGAGAATCTCATCCCAAGTCCTCATCCACCCATTTTTCACATCCGTCTACCACTGCGCCTTACACACATGCACTTGGTCCCTGTGTGTTTAATGTCAGCGCATTGCTGCAGGTGCGGGAAATAAAGCTGCTCCTAGGAATGTCCACTAACATTCCAAACTTTTCCCAATTACACTGCCAGGCACAGCCGTGGATTCTTGGTGATGTGTGGCTTGCATTTTTTTTTTTTCATCCTAACATGGAAAATCCAAAAGGCGGTTGTTTAGCCATGTGTCCAAATGCAAGCGTTCACGATAACATGCTGTCACTTTAAAGAAAACAGTGAAACTGAGTTATTCATTATACTCACTTTACAGACCTTATGCAGGTGTAGACAAGGGTCTGAAGAAACCGTATCAGTGTCCGAACCGCTAACGAAAGAACATTCCCCAAGTCGTGAGACAAAGAACATTCTGCAAACCAAAACACAGAGGGAAATTTTAATTTAAATCCTCAAACCAGCAATAAGCCTAAAAGATATCAAAAGTAAATAGACATAGAACAAAATGTGGCATACATAGAAATAAATGTGTTTTTACTGGAGACAGACATCATCGATGCCATTAATATTTTCAAATACGTTCTCACACAGAATAAGGTAAGAACCACTGGTCTAGGCCCTAGTCCTCAAGATAATTCTCAAGTCACTCTGGGCAAAGTCCTTTCCACCTAAATGCAAGATTTGCTTCATTGTAAGATTTACTTCCTTAAGTTGGCAGAAGAATATTAATTGGATTGTCTTAGTATAAGATCATACTTAAAATATCTAATTCCCATCCAGAGAAAAGACCTTAACATTTAATTGTTGCTTCATATAAAATACCTGTCATTTTATTGGCCGGTTGCAGATAAGCTTTTTCAACTTGGGCTATTTCTCTTGGTCTAAGCTTCGCTATTTACTTTTCCATGTGATTACCAGAAGAGCAGAGTTTGTCAGATTCGTGTTTGTTGGTGCTGAGTTGTTTTTGGTTTGGAGTTTTGGGGTTACTTTCTGGGGGGCAGGGGTTTGGTGGCTAATATTTGTTTTTTACTTAAAATTATCCACATATCACGAGGAATGATAAGTGAGGAGTGTGAGCTCTGTAGTCAACCAGGACGGGGTTCAAATCTCACACTAGCAGTTTGACCTCATATAATCCAGTTAACCTTCCTCTCTCCTCATCTGTAAAATGGAGAAAAAATAAAATCTAGCTTAATCTAGCAAGCACACCAAAGGAGGCAGTGACTACAAAGGATCTGACACATTGCCTGTCATATATTCAGTAGACAATACATGTTATCTATTATTATGACTGAGCATAGTCTGCCCACGTATCTGTAATCATTACGAGTATATATCCTATTCCGATGTTATGACATAATTTGCATATCAACATCAGGAAAATATTTTATAGTTCCATTGCCCATACGGTTAGGTTTACAGTAAGGCTCTAAGTACTGTAACAAGAGTTTAAATAACATCTCTGAGGGGCACCTGGCTGGCTCAGTCGGTGGAGCATGTGACTCTTGATCTCGGGGTCATGAGTTCGAGCCCCACATTGGGTGTAGAGATTACTTAAATAAATAAAACCTTGGGGACGCCTGGGTGGCTCAGTCATTAAGTGTCTCTCTTCAGCTCAGGTCATGATCCCAGGGTCCTGAGATCGAGCCCCGCATCGGGCTCCCTCCTCAGCGGGAAGCCTGCTTCTCCCTCTCCCGCTCCCCCTGCTTGTGTTTCCTCTCTTGCTGTGTCTCTCTCTGTCAGGTAAATAAAACTAAAAAAAAATAATAATAATAAATAAATAAATAAAACCTTATAAATTAAATAAATAAACAAACAAACAAACAAACAAATAAATAAAACAAAGAACATCTTTCAGCACTCTTTTTGGTACTGAGAATGGATTCCAAGGAGTAAATATATTTGATCAAGGGTTACGAAAATTTGTATGGTCTTGACACACACTGCCAAATGAGTTTCCAGGAAGGATTTTGATACCCTACCACCTACCCTACCACACAGCTATATAAGACTCACTTTTACCACTACTTGGTGAACAATGGGAATTGCCACGTATCAGGAATAAAAAGGAAAAACATTAAAAATCACAGAAAGACCTTGTACAACAAGCTTTTGTCTTTCCAGATCTAGCCAAAAAAAAAAAAAAAAAAAATACTGTGAGCGGTGCAAATTTTCATGCCCTCCACATCTGCCTGTTTCCTTCCAAGCCCTTTCTCGAAGCATTGTACTCCACCTCTCAGAAATGTCTCGTCCTCCAGCCACACACCTTGTAGTTTTCCAGCTGAGTGAAGTCAGAGGGGGAAGGAGCCGGTTCCTCTTCGCTGCAGATGCCCAGCGGTCCTGTGAAGGTCAGCCATTCAACTGCCCACCACTGGCATGAAGACAGCACAGGCAGGAGCAATCCCAGAGGACATGCAACCTGGTGAGGCTAATATATAAATATTTTCTCGCAAGGTGGAGTGATGTAGAATGACACAGCCCACATCTGACCACAAAACATAGAAGGTGTAATTGAGGTGTATCACCTGAGCTCTAAAAGGCATATTTTGAGGAGGAACAGTTGGTTTGTGCGGCTTTGCCAGATACCTAAATAATACCTGGTTTTGTGGGAAGAAAGAAAGGAAGAGCAAAAGGGAAGAAAGAAAGGAAGGAAGGAAGGAAAAGAAAGAAAGAGAGAGAGAGGGAGGAAGGAAGGAAGGAAGGAAGGAAGGAAAGAAGGAAGAAAGAGAAAGAAAGAAAGAAAGAAAGAAAGAAAGAAAGAAAGAAAGAAAGAAAGAAAGAAAGAAAGAAAGAAAGAAAGAAAGAAGAAAGAAAGAAAGAAAGAAAGAAAGAAAGAAAGAAAGAAAGAAAGAAGAAAGAAAGAAAGAAAGAAAAGAAAGAAAAAAAGAAAGAAAGAAGGAAGGAAGGAAAGAAAGAAAGAAAGAAAGAAAGAAAGAAAGAAAGAAAGAAAGAAAGAAAGGAAGGAAGAAAAAGAAAACAGAAAGAAAAAAAAGGGAACACTTTGGCCTTTGGTAGTGAATTTACCTCACATAAAAGGTGAGGGATTGACAATGTTGAAATGGAAATTTTCTAACTCAGGGCAACTGAAAAGTGGCTTTTCCTTGCCCCTTCTACACCAATGTCCTGATGACACCCTCTTTAAGACTCTTGAAACAAGTCCTGAGGAGCCCCGGAAGTTCATCTGAAGTCTGTATGGGCATTTTTCTAATGAGAGATCATCCAACCCCCCACTCGTCCACATAAAACTCTCCAAGGAAAAATCTCTCCCCAGTTGGTATCACTGATAAGGCTGGTTCAACTGCTTCTCCTAGCTCAGTTACAATGCAGTATTCACATAACAGGCACAAATCAGAGTTGGACTCTTTCGACATTTGTGGATGGCGTGGCATTATTTGCTAAATTCCAGAACGTGGTGCTGGTTAAACAGGCTGAAAGGATTAGTTACTCCAATGATGGGGATCATTGGCATGGCCTTTGGTCCTTGCTCCATGGACATCTGCACACCTGGGCATGAAGCGTCCCTACAGGCAGGCAACAGGGTTGGAGGAATAAAGACTCAGCCTCCCATCACTTACTACCTGTGTGACCCTATGCAAGAAATCAACCACTCTGGGCCTTGGCTGCGTCTCTGTTAACTAGAAATAGTAACACCTGCCTTGCACAGTGATTGTGGGGGAAGCCCCTGTGCCTGGTACTCAGAGGTTGTAATGTACACACACACGCGCACACGTGAATACATGTGCATGCACTTGAGTTTTTGAAAATCAATTACTCCTCTCCATCTTTATAGCTCACAAGGTGATTTTTGAAGAGTCAATCAAGAAAGGAAGGAAAGAAACAGATTTTCCTCTCCAACAAGAAAAAGCAATTAAACGTCAAATATTAACTGTTCCTGGGAGTAAATTTTTTTAATGGGTTAAAGGCTTGGCCATTACAGCCCTCCAATATGTAATTTCTAAGAAAGGACTAGGTAATTTTTTTTTTTTAATTAAGTGGAAGATAAAATGCTGGAACCAGTGTATCTCTTCAGAAACCACTTTTTTATCCATTTTCCAGGGCTTCCCAATTGCATCATGCCTTTTAAGAGACCCAATCTGTTTAAACAGCACTTTATTTTAAACCTTCACTTGTGAAAAGCACTGATTTATGATAGGGCTGATTTAAGCAGTGGTGTCTTAAGCAATAATGATTTCAATTATAGGACTTTCACCAACGTGCATTATTCTGATTTACTCTCCACTTCTTCGGCATGTTTATTCACTAAGGGAGGGAGTACAGGTAGGTGGGGTGTAATTTTGAATAGTCCCTGGACAAATTTAATATCAGAAAGGAACGTATAGACAGACTGATGTACGCTTTCTGATGATGTGAATGCATTGTATTTTAATATGCTCTGACAAACTCGAACAACTCCCTGATGGGCTCCTACCCGATATCATTAGGGTTATTTAGAGCTCCAGTCCTGCTCTGTTCCCTCTGGGGCATATGGAAGTTGTAGGAATATGCACAATACAGACTCCCTCCGAGCATAGTACAGTCTCGAGCTGGAGAAAACCCTTAAGCTCAGTGTTACAACTTTCACTCATTCACATCTAACATCAATAGAACACATATCAAATATCCTCTCCTTACCTGAGTGCCTATCCCGTGGACCAGGCTGGTGAGGAAGAAATTCATGTGGGATACATTCCCATTAAAATCCCCAACAGCAATTGGAACGGAAAATTCCAATCATACCTTGACAGTTTTTCCTCCTTTCATCAGATCAACTTTATAGATTCCTTAGTTCGGTGCTATTAATTGGACGCTTGCATGATTTACATCTAGCTCTTAATCTCAGCTATACTATGGTGCTGTAGTCTTTACGAGAGCTGACCAGCAAATGCTTTATGCATTAATCCCTCTGCAAAAATCACCTTAATAAATTGTTAAACTTTTTTTTTTTCTTTTGGAATTTAGAAGTGCCAAGACACAAATGAAAGTGTTTGGGTCCAGCCATTAGAATTTTCAGCTTAGCCCTTAAAAAAATGATGGACCTAATTGCTTTGCAGAAGAAAATCAGATCAAAGTCAAGATTCTTCCTTTTTAAACTTTGTAATTATTTCTCAGACTCCTCCTTGAAATGCCTTAAAAATACTTCCATTGAAATGTCTATGGGCTTCTCCCCTCTTCCTTTCAAATATGCTCTGTCTTGACTTTGCCCTGTGGCCTTCCACTGCCCTCTTTGAGGCACTGCCTGAAAGGAAAGTTCTCAAACATCATCAGCACTGGCAGGTACAGAGGCAGACAAAACAAGTGGCGTACTGAGCTAACAACGAGGCAATGCATCGTTTTAAACACAGGATTGGATACATTCTGTAGCTCAGAAACAGGCAATTACAGGAAACCTCATTCCCTTCTTTGCATGAAATTTCCCCAGCCAACCCTTAGCGCACAGATCTCCTTTCTGTCCTCTCCTTCCCAGCCCGTCTCCGTAGCAAGCCCACGTCCTGTTTCCCAGCAAGCACGAAATTGCAGCTAACATGCTCCAACTGCTCTGGGCACTGGATGTTGGGGGAACATCAGAACCTTCTCATTTGCTTTACGCGGCAGCCAATTCTTACAAGGCTACGGACTCCCTTAGTTAGAAGCTACCTTGGTGATTCTCCTCCACCCCCTTTGTTTGACAAATGAAGGGGGAAAGACCCAAGGAGAGAAAGTGACTTGCCCAGGCTCCCACAGCGGGGCTCTGTGACTTACCCTCTGGTGCTCTTCCCACATCCACTCACAGCCATTGGGCGGGACCAAGAACAGTTCTCCAAAATAGAATTTCACTTAGGCGTCACCATAAAAACGGATTTATTATAAAAGCACTGATGGGCCCCCATTTTGTGCTAAGCGCCCAGTTCATGTCCCAAAACTCGATAATGACCCGAAGGCATTCTAATCCTAATTCGGTCACCTGCTAATGATTCCTCCTCACTAAGTGCGTGCACAGAGCGACCACTGACTGAACATTGCAGAGACGGTGAAAGCTGGGAGGAACTTTAGAACCTTCATCCCAACTTCTCGCTTTACAGAGGACGGAACTGAGGCCCTGAAAGGCCTGAGAGCTAGTTCGTGTCCGAGGTGGGTCTAGAGCCAGTTCATGTCCCAGGAAGTTCTAGAGCTAATTCGTGTCCGAAGTGGGTCTAGAACCCATGATGCCAATCACTGAGTCATGTTCTCTTTGCTTCAGCACATTCATTTAATTCAGAATACAACCTACCATGGGGGCTCAATCTATCACATTGATCATCAATCTCTTTTTTGTGACCCTTCAAGTAAGTTAGTTTGTCCCTATGCTCTGCCCCGAAGCTCCACTTTAATTTGAGGACTACTCTCTGAGTACCAAGGTCCATGTAGGATACGTTCCCATTAAAATCCCCACCAGCGGGGCCCTGGGTGGCTCGGTTGGTTAGCAACCGACTCTTGATCTCAGCTCAGGTCTTGATCTCACGATTGTGAGATCCGCGCTGGATGTAGAGCCTATTAAAAAAAAAAAAAAATTGTCACTAGCAATTGGACGGTGGTCCCTGGAAAGCAGAGTTTAGCTGCTGACACAGTAGAACTACAGTGACTGGCACCATATGCATGGGAAAGGCGTACACCCATACCTTTAATGCGTTCCAGATAAATCCAAAGAATTGATGTGATAAGCCATGTCAACAGAAACACCATGGGCAGTGTTCGTACCTTCACCATACTAATGGAATTTTTAGGGTTACCACAGATCTATTTAAAATAGTAGCTGCTGTTTATATATATTTTCAATAATCTTGTAAATCAACAGTGTTCCATAATCTTAGCTGAAACTATAAATGCTAAGTGGACCCATTAAAGAAGAAATGTTAGATCTTCTTTTTCTTTTTTTAAATGTGGTCTTCCAGGAAGCTGCCTCTGGACATAACTGCAGAAAATTAACACAATAAGTAAAGCATTATCGAAGAGCTATTAACTGATTACACTAATAAAAACCAAATGGGGGCCTTAATTCTGCCCCTCTGGGAGAGAAGGACAGATAAAATAAACAACAGAAAAAGAACACAAAGTAAAGGATAATTGACTTTAAACAATAATAATACAGAAACCTCCCATCAAGTAAAAAAAAAAAAAAAAAAAAAAAAAAAAAAAAAAATCCAGATCTCTAGCTTCACTTTGGGAAAGATAGAAGAAAAACTTTATCCTGCCTTGTTAAGACCTAAGTTTGATACTAATAAGGGCATTTTCCAGGCTAACAAATTGGAAAAATTAAGGGGGGTTGACAAGGAAGTTCTTAAATGCCTGACACATAGTCACAACGACTATTTTACTATATTATCAAAATGAGGAGCCCTTCTGGTCCTGCTCAGAGGCCGTTGAAATCTAAACATTCCGAGCTCATACTCTATCAGGGTGGGATGGAAAGCGGGGTCCAGTGATGTTTGGCATTCACATAAATGGCCAAACCAGATAGAGAAGAGGAGGACTAAGGGTTTCCACTGCCTTAAGGTGGAGACTGGGGGCCTTTAGAACCCATGAACATACAGCACTGCCTGTTAGCTAAATCCTGAAATTCTTTTTTTTTAAGATTTTTATTCATTTATTTAAGAGAGAGAGAGCACGACAGAGGGGTACATGGAGAGAGAGAGAAGCAGACTCCCCATTGAGTGGGGAGCCCAATGCAGGACTTGATCCCAGGAACCTGGGTCCATGACCCAAGCTGAAGGCAGACACTTACCTGACTGAGCCACCCAGGCGCCCCCAAATCCTGAAATTCTTAAACATGCTTGGGGTTAACTCTGTGTAGCAGAAAAAGGTCTTTTCTTTCCATTTTATTATCTATAACATGGTCCGTCATCCTGCCTTCAAACCTAGCCAGAAGCTTACAGTTTCTCTCAGTAAGTGCCTGATAGGGGCCAAGTGTCTTACCAGATGCTTTACACTCATCATCTGTCATTCTTACATTATACTTGCAAAACAGGTGATGACCCCAAACTTAGAGTTGCAGAAATGGAGTCTCAGAGTGATAGAGAGACCATTCAACTTCCCACGGTTATTAGGCCTGACCCCTCTCCAAAGGCATGCACCCTTCTCCCTCCGCATAGGTGACCCCCGCCATTGCTAACTGTTACTGTCACTCTTTCTCAGTCTGTTTTTACATATTGTTCTAACCCATCTAACCCACGGAACCAACCCTCTTAGCATGGCATCGGCAAAATCCCAGGTTCTTTTTGCTTTTTGCTGACAAAAAGTCAGCAAATTCAAATGAAATAATTCCTATGTGAGAAAATAGTTCAGCATTTTCTTAAAATGCAAACATTAAAAACAAATTCTTCCACAAGACGCTAACTTTTAAGTTGGCAGAAAATAGCCTGGTCGTTTCATATTTTCATACTAACTAAAACAGTAGTGGTTCGGATTTGTAATGAATGTGTTGGTCTGAGAACTGATCTCCCACAGTGAAATGTGGATGATAAGAAAAAAAAAGCATCAGTAGGTAAGAGGTGGGGTTGTCTGTATAGAGATAGAACACTTTTATGTATGAAAGGGTAAAACTTGGGGTGCCTGGGTGACTCAGTTGGTTAAGCACCCGACTCTTTTTTTTAAAAGATTTTTTTATTTATTCGTTTGAGAGAGACAGAGCACAGGAGCAGTGAGGAGGGCCAGAGGGAGAGGAAGAAGTAGACTCCCTGCTGAGCAGGGAGCCCTGTGTGGGGCTCGATCCCAGGACCCTAAGATCATGAACCAAGCTGAAGGCAGATGCTTAACCGACTGAGCCACCCAAGCACCCCAGCATCCGACTCTTGATTTTAGCTCAGGTCGTGATCTCAGGGTCTTGAGATCAAGCCCCACACCGGGCTCTGCACACTGTGCAGAGCCTGCTTGAGATTCTCTCCCTCTCCCCCTGCCCCTCCCCCAGCTCACGCTCTTTCTTGCTCTCCCTCTCTAAAATAATAAATAAATAAATAAATAAATAAATAAATAAATAAATAAATAAATAAAATCTTTAAAAGAGAAAAAAAAGAAAAGGGTAAGACTTGTTCAGCTCTGGGCAGAGAGGGTTGGGAGACATCCAAGTGGACCAGTGAACAAAAGGTTCAGGAGGGAGATAGCCATTTGAAGCCAAAACCACTTTACGGAAGCCAGAGTTCTTCAAAAATACAATGTATTCAGGCCATCAAACTTAGTAGCGAAATACTGGAGGCGTGTCCAATAAAGAATATTTTAAAATAATTTGAAAGTTCTAATCTTCTGCAATAAGAGGAAAAATGAAGAAATTACGTCATTTTGAGGAAGAGGAAAAAAATTATCATTATTTGCAGATGATAATATTTACCTATATGGTTCAAAAGAATCAACTGGCAAACTTTGTGAATAAAAAGCAGGAAAGTGGCAAATGCCAAATAAAAATATGTACGTAGGCAACTTTCCTCAGCAGTTATAAAATTTAATAGAGAAACAGGATTCACAACAACAATCAATAAACTCGAGACTATATTGAGATATGACATGAAGAAACCACAACTTGGCAGAAATTTGCAGGAAAAGATAAATGACAGGCATGTTTTACTTGTAGCCAAGAAAACTCAGTATTAAGGACTTCAAGTGCCCACACATTAATGTATAAATTGTATTCACTTACATTTTGAACTGGATGAGTTCTTACAGAATAATAAAGAGGGGAGTATAACCCAGAAAACTAATTGTAAGGATGACAAACTTGAATTACTGGATATGAAAGCATAGTCTTAAATTCTAATAATAAAAAAAGGGAGGGTTTTGGCTGAAGAAGCAGTGGAGATATGAAGATAATGAAATAAAATTGAAAAATACAGAAACAGGCCCAATAACATACAAGATTGAGATCAGTAAGGAAAAGAGTCTTCGGTATATAGATTCTTACTACACAGACCAAAACAAATTCCAAACAAGTAAGAGATTTAAACATTTTTTTAAAAAATAAAAAGAGTCATAAAAGCAGTAGAAAATGTAGATTGATATTTATCTGACCCTGGGATGTACAAAGCCTTTCTGAACATAAAAGCAGAGGAAGAATGAATAAAGGAAAATATTTATGTACTTGGATTTATAAACATATACATTAAAAATCCATTAACTATTGGGGCACCTGAGTGGCTCAGTTGGTTAAGCATCTGACTTCTGACTTCAGCTCAGGTCCTGATCTCAGGGTCATGAGATCAAACCTAGCGTCTGCTTGGGATTCTCTCTTTCCCTCTGTGTCTCCCCCTACTTGCATTCTCTCTCTCTCTCTCTCTCTCTAATAGATAAATAAAATCTTCTTAACAAATCCATTAACAATTAAAAATCAAATGATAAAAAGGATAAAATGCTTGCAGTGCTTGATAGTGAAAGAGTTAATACACTTAAGATGTAAAGAAGGTTTACAATTTAACAGAAACTCAATTTTGTAAATTTTTAAATAAATAAAAGTGTAAATAACAGGCAAATTACATACTCACAAAACAAGCCAAATAGCCAAGAAACATGAAGAAAGTTAGCATCACAAATAATCAAAAAAATACAAATCAAAATAGGATTCTAAGTTTCTTAGTTTGGGGAGACTTAATGATGGTTTTGTGAATTCTGCATTCTCATTCACGGCAGGTGGGAATATAAATTGGCATAAACACTTTGGAGAGCAGCTCTGCAAATCTTAGACAAGAAAAAAAAAAAGCTTTTTGACCCAGGAATTTTGCTTATAGTAATTTCAAGAAGAAATGGAGATACACACAAAGATTTTATAAAGGCCAAAAGTTAATAAACCACATGAATATCTAACCAGAGGTAAACTGAATTATGATACCTACAAATAAGGTAACAGGATGCCAACATAAAAATCATGCTTTACAGTAGTTTCGACACAGGAGCAAATACTTATTATGACTTGTCAGATGGGAAAACCAAATCACAGGGATGCCTGGGTGACTCAGTTGGTTAAGCATCTGCCTTCAGCTCAGGTCATGATCCCAGGGTCCTGGGATCCAGCCCCGCATCAGGCTCCCTGCTCGACGGAAAGCCTGCTTCTCCCTCTCCCACTCCCCCTGCTTGTGTTCCCTCTCTCACCGCATCTCTCTCTGTCAAATAAATAGATAAAATCTTAAAAAAAAAATTAATCACAAACTAGTGGATGATAGCAGGGCCTCAATCTTACTTTTCAAGCATACATGTCAGTAAAAACGTGGAGGGGCACCAGTGTGGCTCAGTGGGTGGAGCCGAGGACTCTTGATTTCAGCTCCAGTTGTGAGGTCAGGGTTGTGGGATCGAGCCCCACCTCCAGCTCCGAGCTCAGCATGAAGTCTGCTTGAGAGTCTCTCTCCCTCTCCCTCTGCCCCTCCCCATACTCTTGTGTGTGGGTGCATGCTCTCTCTCTCTCTCTAAAAAAAAAAAAAAAAAAAAGTGGGCGCCTGGGTGGCTCAGTTGGTTAAGCGACTGCCTTCGGCTCAGGTCATGATCCTGGAGTCCCTGGATCAAGTCCCGCATCAGGCTCCCTGCTTAGCAGGGAGTCTGCTTCTCCCTCTGACCCTCCTCCCTCTCCTGCTCTCTGTCTCTCATTCTGTCTCTCTCAAATAAATAAATAAAATCTTTAAAAAAAAAAAAGGTAAAGAAAGAAGTAGTGGGACTATAGTCTCTTTTTTTTTAAGATTTTATTTATTTGATACAGAGAGAGCAGGAGAGCAAGAGAGCACAAGCAGAGGGAGGAGGAGAAGCAGGGTCCCCACTGAGCAGGGAGCCCGATGCGGGGCTCCATCCCAGGGTCCCTGGATCATGACCCAAAGTAGACGCTTAACCGACTGAGCCACCCAGGTGACCGGACTATAGTCTATTTTTATTTATTTCTTCACGTGTTTCCACAATTTCTAAATGCTCTACAATGGACATGTATTACTTTTGCAATCGAGAAAAAATTGCCTTGTGTGTTTTCACTTCTAGTTTGCCGGAAGCGTGGAAGCCTACAGGAGATTGCCCAGAGAAGGTGTTATAGGAAGGCAGCTATGCTCACCACTATACCACCAACGCGAGAAGGTGCTGTAGGAAAATAACGGGGAGCCCGGGCTGCAGGGCTGCTCCAGCTGGTGAGTCTGTGCCTTCACCCTATTCTGGCTTTTTTCTGTTGTGGTGGCTTTTTTTTTTTTTTTTTAATCTGTTCTCAGAAAGTTTGTAGCTTCCCCCACTATTTTATTTGCTCCTCCTAGGAGTGACAGAGCAGAGTGTTCCAACAATACTTACTGTATTTTGTGTCAGGGGCCTGTGGGTCAGCAAGGTTATTAATAAACATAGCCTCTTGTTCTAATTTAGGCCCCTTCTCTCCTCCGTGCCTCTCCTCCTGCCCTGCTTTTCCTTTCGCTTCTCTTTCCGTCTGACCCTCTTCCCCTTCTCCCTGATACCGAGGATTCTGCCTTGCCTCTCGCTCAACTTCTGGCACTTTTCCCAAAACGCTTTTCTGATGTCCTTGTCGGTCCTGTTTTCATGGGGAATTTCATTTTCGAGGAAACACGCCATGTCCTAAATCGATTCCATGCAGGCTGATGTGATACCATGATTGGCCACACCTGGCTGAGTGGAGGGATCCCTAGAACTGAGGCGAACTGTGGTCCAGCCGGGGGACTACCTCGTTTTGTAAAAAGAATGTCCATTAAACAAGATTCACCGACACAAAATGAGCCAGACTTGAGAGGCCCTATGGTCAGCCCCACGCAAAAGAAGTGAAGTGGGAAGGCACAAGGCAGCTCTAAATTCTATTATTTTTCTTATTATCTCGGATAAGACAAAGAACATCTAAGGAGTTCCTCGTGTATATTTGTAGTATGTGCATATCAATTTTCTTTTCTGTTAAGAGCTTAATTTACTACCCAAACTTCGAGTAAATCTTGTATTTTTGCTGACTTGATTACCTGTATTTTGCTGACTTGATTACCTCACTACCAAATTCGTAGGCCCAAGCTCTGCAAATTCCCTGAACTTTGTACAAATCCTGTTCAATTGTTTTTCACTGTCAACATTTTCTTTATTTTTAAAGCTTTCTTTATTTATTTTGAGAGAAAGAGAGAGAACAAGCGGGGGGCGGGGATGGGCAGAGGGAGAGAATCTTCAAGCCGACTCCCCACCGACAAAGGAACCCTACCCGGGACTCGATCCCACAAAGCTTGAGATCAAGAACTGAGCCAAAACCAAGTCACTTAACCCACAGAGCCACCCAGGCACCCCCATGGTCAACATTTTTTAACTGCAAGTTCAAATCAGAGATTACTTTGTGAACTGAAAAAGTCAGTTCCTACACACACACACACACACACACTCACACGGGTCTGCACGTGCTCTTCCCAAACATATTAAACTTGAGTTGTTACTTTATTCTACTAAACACAATATTGCATCTCCTATCAGAGCTTTCAAGGAGTCACATGCACCAGTGGGAGTTTACTTAACAATGATAAAGCAACAGTTTTATATGGGGAAATATGTAAAAAGAAATGCATGATCCTGTGTTGAATTATTCATACTTTTCAAATTAACCTATTGCACTTTTTCCTGTTCGAGAACGCATTAGTTTTTAAAAATGACCTGGACTACCTTTTGTAGAATGAGTGGAAGTCTTTTAGGGTGATGTAATTTTTTTAACACATGATTAATTCTACTCCCTACTAGGGTCCTCATATTGAAGAAATGAAAAAAAAAAAATGAAGAAATGACAGGAAAGCTACATTTATTTCAGAGAAAGATAGTTTTCTATATCTAAATTCATTATCACAAAACATACCAGTTTTATAGCATTAACAGAATTGTACCCAACTTTTGGTCTTTCCAAACTGAGAAAGAAAATCTCTGTGCACTTTGAATGAATTATGCATTCGACTTCTTAAAATGGTCACCTCTAACCACGGTACATTAACAGTCAGAGATGCAAGGATCCTAAACTCAGCTAAAATCTCCATTGGAAGTAGCCATTAATCAGACTTGACTGAATGTCTAATTTGGTTCCTTATTTTTTTATTTTTTCATTTTCCTTTTAAATAGTTCATTCTTATCTTCTCTATAACAACAATCAAAGGATGAGCATAGCTTTAAATGTGTTCTGTTAAATGTGTGGTCATTTGTCATTCATAGAATGCTATTTAATCAAGTTATTTTCTTTAAAGGTAGTATTTTTCTTAATAAACATAGGCTTGCATGAGCATTAACTTACGAGACTGTGGTGGGGAAGAAGAGAGGAAAAAGGAGGAAGCGGAAGATTTTATTGAGTGACTACTACGTATCATACAGTGTGATACCTGCATCCATTCATTCAACAGATCTTATGGTGTGCTGAGTGCTTCACACATCTTTTTTGGTGTTGTCCACACAGCATCACAACGAAGAAGATATTAGACACCTCAGGATACAGATGAGAAAACTGGGGTTTAGAGATGCCAAGCAGCATACCCAAGACACACAATTAGTGTGGCAGAAAGCAAGGATTTGAACCTAGGCTCTGCTCACCAGACAACAGCATTTTCGATGATTAGGAGTAGTAGACTTCATCGTTGGCAATGGCAAGGACTCGGAGTCGAAATTAAAATCCTGATATCTCCTGCATGCTTGAGATCAGTGATGCCCGATCACTTATAAGTTCTGATTGGGGATGTCTGAAAGGCCAAGAAAGAGCTCCCAGAGAATCATGTTAGATAACATGGCAGACACCACCATGAAGTGACTGACGGGGCAATTCCCACGTTAGCATGACGATATGTATGCTACTTATCAGAACACTCATGACACTGTGTGACTCAAATGGATAGACCAGTAACTTTCTTTTTTTTAAGATTTTTTTTTTTAACTTATTTGAGAGAGAGAATGAGATAGAGAGCATGAGAGGAGGGAGGTTCAGAGAGAGAAGCAGACTCCCTGCCGAGCAGGGAGCCTGATGCGGGACTCGATCCCGGGACTCCAGGATCATGACCTGAGCCGAAGGCAGTCGCTTAACCAACTGAGCCACCCAGGCACCCGACCAGTAACTTTCAAAAGCAGGGCATCTTTGTACTCTTGCCTTATATATTTTAAATATTCTATATTTAAAGAGGGCCCTTGGTTCCAAGATGTTCCTTTACAGTTTGATAAATAAATGTTCTGAGGATCACCCATGGGGAATTCTTCCCTCACATAATAAGGTTGGCTGCGAAGCATTGTTTTATGCCCTGTAGCAGGCCTTTTTTTTTTTTTTAATGCCCACTCTGTTTTAGCTTCTTCCAAGTCCCAGCCTGGGATCGGCAGGTTGTGGGATGAGGATCGTGTGGCGAGTGTCAGGCTACAGTTCTTAATGCTCTAGGGATAAGATTTCTTACGAAAACTGGCAGCTTTTCTGTTCTTCCTCAGCCTTTTTAACACATAGCCAGGTCTCTCTGTTTAGCGGCACCCGCTGTGGTTGTGACGGTCCTGGGCTAAATTTATGCCACTGACGAGTCCCATTGAATGGCTCAGTAGCATGGAATCAGTGGGAGCTGTGCGTATATAAGCCCTGGCAGACCTTGGCCCACTGAGTGTAATAGCCTATCTGCCTTGGGAGATTATGGGTATGATACGGGCGATGCGTAATGCATAGGGCAGTCTGTGTACAAATTTCAAATGACTTGCTACACCCCTTTAGGATGACTGCTGTCAAAAGTATTAGCACTTTACACACACAACAGCCACGTATCATATTACCGGTGGCCCCTGCTCCCACAGAGTGGCTCCTCCCACGTCTCCCAGTAGGTAATTGCTTCAAGGGTACCTATTGAACACATACAAAGGAGAAAACACTGGTGAATTTCCTTCTTTGAGCCCGACTGTATTCATATAGAAGGAGGAAAATACCGAACGTGTTTAAAATTAGCATGGACGGAAGTTCAAAGGGAATTACATGGAAAAGAGATCTCGGAGAGATTTAAATTTTCAATCCAACAAGAACCGGATTTAATATACTGAAGCTGAACCCAGGGGAGCGTTATGTTGTTCTGTGCTTAAATCAAGACCTACCCTGATGTTAGCACTTAAAGTCTGGGCGGTAATGGGAAGGTAGGGAAATGCAGGAACTTCCATGCCATGGATGATGTTTAGGACATTTAATTTTTCGAGCATGGATTTTTGAATGAGGCTGCCCGATGCTGGGGAATCTGCAAAAGTTTAAACAATGTGGAGATCTGACTCAGGAACACTAGCATTCTTTGGTTAAGCTTCTTTTCGTATCCCCTCTCAGCTTGGTGCAAGCAAACTAAGCAGAATCTGTTTTTTTTTTTTTTTCCCTCAGTTGAGACTGGACTTACAAGTGTGACTATCCTGGCCTTCCGTGCTAAACAGAGACGATAGATTAGCATCACGAAAGACACAGGTGACACTGGTGATCATTCACAGAAAAATTAGCAGCAAAATAACCACCCATGATGATGGTCTGAGGTTGAATAGACGTGACCTCTTTCCATAGTCAGGATCTTTTTTATAATAATATTGAAAATCTGGGGGTGCCTGGGTGGCTCAGTTGTTAAGCGTCTGCTTTCGGCTCAGGTCATGATCCCAGGGTCCTGGGATCGAGCCCCGCGTCGGGCTCCCTGCTCGGCGGGGAGTCTGCTTCTCCCTCTCCCACTCCCCCTGCTTGTGTTCCCTCTCTCTGTCTCTCTCTGTCAGATAAATAAATAAAATCTTTAAAAAAAAGAAAAGAAAACCTGTTAGCATTAGAAACCCTAGCATTGATCATATTGTCTGCTTGCACCAGTGTCCAGAACACTATGGAAACTCATTTGTCCATTTATCCAATATATTGGCCCCAAATATATTCCAGGCACAGTATTAGTCTCTAGAGATACAGCTATAAATGAGATACTGGTTCCTATCCTTAGGGAGCTTGTCTTGATTTATTTTCTTTATATAATAAATAGTACATGCTATGTGCCTGTCACTAGTCTAAGTGCTTTACATATATTAACTCACTTAATCTTCAAAACAACCATATGTGAGAGTTACATTATTATCCCCATTTACAGATGAGGAAACTGAGGCACAGACAGATAAATCAGCATGCTCACGGTCACACACTGGTATATCAGGAGACCCAGGATTTAAACCCAGGCAAATCTACTTCCAGAGAGCCTACTATTAATCACTGCTTATGAGCTAATTGAAGAAATAAACCTGCAACTATTCCCAACATAATGACTAGTGACATCAAAGACCCTAGAAACTCCAGAAACCCTGGCTTCTGCAATATTCAGATCAATGATTGGGCAAAACTTTGTAAAAGACGGGCACCTGGCTGGCTCAGTGGATAGAGCACATGACTCTTGATCTTGGGGTCATGAGCTCAAGCCCCACGTTGGGCTTGGGTGTAAAGCTTACTTATAAAGACAAAACAAAACAACAACACACAACTTTGTAAAAAACCTGCTAGTCAATTTGTAAAGGAACCAAAGATGAGAGAGACAGACTCTATAAGCTACCAAAAAGCCAAATCAAAATGCAATTTAATGGCAATAAACATAAGACGATCTTAAAATGCAATAAATCCCCTGAACAGCCCTACACGGCTGAGATCTGACTCCATGGCTGAGATCTGACTCCATGGATCTGACTCCTCCCTGACTCAGGACTCTGTTCAAAGCCTATCACATGACGTGGTGGACAGCTCTGGTCATGAGACTTCTAAGTATTTTATTTGTTGCTGGACACTTCTTAAGAGAATCTGGCACACCAAGGCCAACCAAAGAAAACAAAACCACTGAGTCCCGGTCATATGTGGAACTGGAGAATTTTGCCAATAAAACAAAAGTGGTGGCCTTGAGGGGGTGAGGAGAGCAAAAGTTATCTTCCAGTGTTTGAAAGTCTGTCGTATGGTAGAGGGATGAGGTTGAGTTGTGCTGCTTCTGAGGACAGAATCCAACCCAATAGAAAGATGGTCCAGAGACACAGATTTTTGCTCCCATGAAAGGAACAAAAATTTCTAAAAACAAAGCTCCAACAGCGATAGCCTTGGGGAGAGTGAGCCCCGCCCTTCCCATCTCTCTAGGGGGCTGGCCCTGTCTGGAAGCCTTCACCCAGACCTTCACACATATATGCTACCTGCCTTAAATGTACAACTCTTACAAATTGCTGAATCCATGTCAGCCTGGCCATCTGCCTATCTCCAGACCACTGGCTTCAGTGAGAAGCTGGACCAGTGTTCTCCAAGCTTCCTTCTAAGGAAAAGACTCAAGACTTCTTGATTCCGTTATGGAGCCTTGAGTTCCGAAACATTTTTAAAACCAGTTACCCCTGTTTTACAGATGAAGAAATATCTCACAGGGACTGAATAACTAATGGAATCAGGGGCAGATAAAATCTCCCCTTTTATACCTCGATTCCTGCTCACACTTAAATCACTATTTCTATACAACCAACCTCAGCATTGTTCCAGAGCAACTTAGTCCTAACCTTATTCTAGAAAATTGGTCTGGTCCCCAGTGGGCACTAGGTCATTTAGCTGAGAGCTTACTATCATTTCTAAGTTAATTTGTGAGTTAATTGTAAATGTCAGGAAGCTCTGACACTGCAGAAAATGATAAATTATTGAGATAAACCAGGGTCAGAAAAATCCCTGTTGGTTGTTGATCAGTTTTTATCAGAAAAATGTGTTGACGTGGGAGGGACTGGAAATTGCATCAAACAGGAGTTGTCTCAGAAGACAGCCTCCATTAAGGGGACACCGGATTCTTGAGTTAGGAAACTGCTTTGAACATCAAAATTCCCATACTACTCCACAATCACCACCTCCATCATGTTTTCTCCTAAATGACTATCCAATCTAGAGAACTTGAAAAAGAACCTAAAAATATCAATGCCTGTGGATATTTCCAATGGGATGGTTTAAATGTGGTATTAGAATGGTTGGATTATACATCTCTGAACACATATGCATCACGCCTATCAGTAAAATAAGGGCTTGTCTTTTCCACACCGCTGTGTTTGGCAGGCCTGTGCCTCCCATTTCTCCTCCTTGCTGTTTGACCTTTGTGGTTCCTTTCACCCGCAAGGTCAAGCCCTTAACATCAGGATTATGTTAAAAGAAAGACGAAAATTTTCGAAGAAACTTCTGGAATTACCAGGGTTACTCCAAGTGGGGACTGGTCCTCCTTTGTAAAGGGAGGAACCTAAATCTCAAGCCCAAATGATTCAAATCCCTACCAGCCTCTGAGTTTTGGACCAGATGGCGCCTGCTTTTTTTTTGCCCACAACGGCTATCCTGGCCACCATCTACCTCTGACCATGCTCAGCAGCGCCGCTCTCGCGACATAACTTCATGATCTCCCATTTGCTACTGATTAATCTATGGTATTTTGGAAAATGGAGCTAAACTGGAATGCTATGGTTAACTAACCAAAAGATGTCAAGGAGCCTTTATTTTTTAACTTCTTTTGCAAAAATGATTTTGGAGGGGTAGCAGACTGAAAAACCCTATCGTGACTAATCATACACAGTCAGACCCCTCCCTGAGAGATAAAAGATCCACTGCTTTCATTGCAGGAATGTAAGACTAAATGTCTTACCTGGAAGAAAACATTCAGTTCCCCATCTGATGAAGCTTTAGGGCAAACAGCAACCAGGCTTTTCTATCCGCTTTTCTCTACACTCAGGCACCTAGGTCAAAAGAGAAGTCAAGTTAGGCTGAAATTTGTGTAATTTACAATCTCCTGCCTGTGGGCCAGAGCCAAAGGGCTCTTGGCTACAAAGTGTAAACAGAGCATTGTTGCCTCTTAATGTGGGTAATTGGTCCCAAATGCTGTTGCCACTTTTCCGATCAGACGCTTTACATACTTTTTAAAGGACCTGGGAATTTTCTTCTTTGGCAGGGAAAAGTTTGGAGTGTAACTGTCTTTTCATCAGCACTAAGACTCCTATAAACAGCCAGGTGATTTCATCTGGGGGCCGGTAAACACAGGAGGCTTGGGGCCTGCTCGGGGAGATCCACTCTGTTTTCGGATGTTCATTCATCTATCATTTGCTCCCACACCCGAGGTGACATCCGGGTGTTTACCTAACAGGCTCAGCTTCTCCAAGAGTGGAGCAGACAGGGCCACCGCTTAGAGGATGCCAGCCAGATTTCAGAAGCTGGGCTATGTCTCATCTTGGCATAATGTATTCTTATTGGTACGTTCCTTGAGGGTAATGCACCGTGATGAATTTGGCCGAAAACCAGTTGTTTTATGGCATCATTTTCTGGGTAAAGTCCTAGGGATGCTATGCAAGAGAAGCCAGTGAGTGTGGTGTTCTGGGAGGTCTTAGTCCAGGATTGGGAACAGTCGGGGGGACTACAGGCTGCGTGACCCCGGACAGGCAACATAACCTCCCTGAGCCTCAGTTTCCATATCTATAAAGTGCAGACGGTAATAGATACCTTGCAACTCTCACCGTGAGGATTAAATTAGAATATGAATATAAAGGTTATGGGGCATTCCGCATTATTATGATTACAGATTATAAATATATATATACACATTATATATTATGTAAAGCAGTTTTTAAACCATATTTTTTTCAGCCTATCTTTAAGTCAACCTACACAAGGCAGGGAACAAAATTTGTCTTTCCTGTGAAATCTCTTCAGGATTCCAAGAGAATATAGCTTTCATTATGGATCTGGCAAGTCATTGACAAAAATCTGAGTTCCCTTAATTTGCTTTTCTCTTAGAATTTCCTTTTTACCTATTTACAATATCCTTCATGACATTTTTAAGTCTTCATTTCTCCTCTAAATATTTCTGGAATCCTGTTGAGTTCTACATTAACTAATGTTTCTCCAAGTTTTACTTCTTTAGTTTTTATTATTATTATTTTTTAATCTTTCCTCCCCAGTCTCTCACTGGGTCATTCTTGTACCTTTTTCCTTTAAATTCCATTCCAGAGGCACCTGGGTGGCTCGGCTGGTTAAGTGTCAGACTCTTAGTTTTGGCTCAGGTCACTATCTCAGGGTCATGGGATGGAGCCCCAGGTCAGGCTCCGCACTCAGCACAGAGTCTGCTTAAGATTCGCTCTCTCCCTCTCCCTCTGCCTACCTGCCCCCCCTCCACGCACTCTCTCTCACTCTCTCTCTAAAATAAATAAATAAATCTTAAAAAAAAAAAATTCTACTCCATTTATCTCTATCTCCTTAGCATAGGGTATCCTACTTAGGTCACATTCTAAGTGGAAGCTCCGCAAAGACCTATGGGAGATTTGCGATGTCAATTCCCTTCCCACTTCTGGGATGAGGTTAGACAACACTGAGCTTTCTCTACTTGAGCTTTTCCCATTAAATTTACTACTGTTCTTAGTAGTTTAAAAAACAGGAAAATATCTCTCCCATCCATAGTCTGTAGCAGTTTCTTTCCCCAACAACATGGTAATTCCATTTCCTCTGCAGGGTCAGCATGGCATGGTGCTGGAGTGCCGATATTCCAGAACCAGACATTCTGGGGTTCACATCCCCTTCGGGGCCATGTAACCTTGGGCAGTGCAAGTTATGTAACTTTCCTGTGCCTACTCTTTCTTATCAGCAAAATAGAGATAATAGTGTTTGTCTGGTACTATTATGGTAAACCAAGCTGAATCACCCCAGGTAAAGTCCTTAAAACAGTGCCTGATTACAGTAAGCCCTCAAGAAATGTTGGTTAGCAGTATTTTGCAGGGATTCTCCTTTTTAAAAAATCCTATGTGTATTTCACGGTCAATTTCCCCCTCTGTCTCTCCTAAGTGGTCATCTTTCCACATACATCATTGAAAATTTGCTTCATATACTGTTCTTCCCTACTTCTGAACTTTACAGGAAATGTGGGGGAAAAAAGAAAAAGACAAAACAGCCATTGCAAAAACATCTTCTGGTTCTCTTCCCCTGCCCATCCTCTATTCATCATTAGCTAAAGTGGGATGAAAGTTTCGCTATGAAGCCACAACACAACTGTAGTTTACCTAAAGTTAGTGAGTCTGGGTCAGGTTTAGGAAAACCTGGTTTGAATTTTCAGTGAACCTCCTTTCTACTCTCAAATGCCAGAAGAGGATTTATAGTTTCAGGTGGATAGCAAATGAAATTTGGTAAGTTCATCTGGGTTTTACTTTGGGTTTATCATTCGAATGAACTCAAATTTCATGCAGCCTTAATCCTTATATTTATGGTTTTTCTGCCATATTCACCTCAGTTGATAAAAAAATTTTTTTTAAATAAAAATTGAGACACGCTGTTTGGTATTTGAGCAAATAGCAATATTGCACAACATATGCATTCCTTTGTCTTAATGATAAAAAAATTATGAGGAAAATATATTTTGGGTAACGTGCTTTAAGGAAAAAAGCTATTTTGGCAAATATTCCTCCTTCTTTCATACTGTGTTTATTAACCATGAAATTCCAAACTGACCAGATGATAATTAACAAAATTATCTATTTCTGTCGACATTTCAAGATCTGCACTGCATCATCTTTTATCACTGGCTCAGTTAAACTGTGACTTTAAAATCAAAATTGTATAATTTAAGCTTTCTCCATTTTTGCATTTCATCCCCCAGAAGTCAGAAACCCAGACTTTAAACTAGCTAATTTCCTCAAATTATATGCTAGAGGTTTGAGGAGATTTAAGGATAGATCTTTTATGTCAAAATGATAGGTCCACAGTTTGATTGATGATCTTGTACATATAAATGATATATGCCCATTAGATAAAGGGGCCTTCTGGGATGAGAAAATTAGGCAAAAGTGAGCCTAGAGAAATTTCTAAATCCTACATTTGCCGAGATAGGGGCAACATGCTTCCAGCTTCTCTTTTATTATAAGATGAAATAATCTTAAATAACTTGCATATAGAGATTAATATATCAATGCACCCTAAAAAGATTATTAACCTAAAAGTGCATTTTTCACTCTAACAGTTAAGTGGAAGCTTTCTAGTTACATTACTTTGAATATCTACTTCTTAATTTAACCAAACAAAGTTATTCTGGAATTTTTTTCCTTAAGAAATGAGCACTAGATAAAATTCCCCCAAATACTACTAATACCTTTTCATAAATTGACCATATTTTACGTTATTTTAAAAATTAAAACCTAAAAACAGAAAATGTCATGGGTTTTTTTTCTTCTTCTTCTTCTAATCTGTAGTCCCCAAATGACTGCTCATAAAAATAAACTTTACAACATCTTTGAGAATCCCAAAGAAGCCCGGTCAAGATTTTTTTGGCTGGAAAAGAAAGCAGTTTTGATATTCAAAAATTTGGCCTCCCTTAGTCAATCCCCAGAAGGGAAAAAAAAATCAGCTAATCTTAGAAAGATGGTAAATTTAAGTGATTCTCTAATCCAAGTTAGTCCTCAATCATGTTTTGAAATATGATCAAACAATAAAGACTGGGAAGAGTCATAGAAAGTTTCAAAAATAACTCAAAATAGAAAAATTGAGCATTTCTTTAAGAGGCTTTTCTGTTTCTAAATTAGAGGATGAATAGCATCTTACGGGAAAATAGCAAAGTTTGCGCTGGTATGCCCACTTTATGCTAAAACACACACAAAAAAGATCCACTAACGTATTTTATTACTGCACCCTTTAAGACAGTATTAAACATCGGATTTTTGTTGGTCAAGTATTCCAGGTGTCATACTGGGCAGCAAACCCAGCTAAACACGGACACATCCATACACAGGCTCTAACAGCCATACTATAAACAACTCGGCAGGCACACACACTCGCACACGCATGCGCACACACAAACATACATACACGAAACCTGACCAGGCTTTGCTCTGAGTCCCTGATAACTCTGGCCCTAGAAAGAATTTTAATCTACATGGTTTGAAAATAGGGGCCTTTTAAATATGCTGCAAACAATTTGTGATGGTCATCTCTAAAATGCTGCTCCATTATCCTTTTCCATTTGGAATGAATGAGGCTAATTAATTTCAGGCCATACTTGATGAGGTCAGCACCATACGAGGGGTGCGTGCTAGACATTGCTAATCTCTTTCAGCTGAGAGTGATGAATTAAAGATGAAGCATGCCTTTGCAGGCCTAATTTAGAATGTATATCAAAAAACCTACAGCAAATAATACTATACCCTACAACAAAGGAAAACTTGTTCTCTGAGGCTCCCTGAGTTGTGTTGATTTTAAAGACATTTTCAGTCTTCTTTGGAATTCCAGCTGTGGATGGCTGAACCATATCAAGAAAATCAAGCCATCTCTCCCACATGGCCATGTGGACAAAAAGTGGGATTAAAGGAAAGAAAGAAGGAAAACAAAAACAAAATACAACAATCAGGGTTTGATCCCCTGTGTATTAAAATTCCACCTACACATTACGCTTTTTTTTTTTTCCCAGAGCTACCAGACTGACAAAGATCCCAAATTAGCAATACCTGTATTCAAGCAGTGACCACCCAGCTCTGCTGGGACATTTCAAAGCAACATGCTAAATGAGGCAGCCTGTTGTTTTTAAAGCAGATATCCTAATGAGGCTTATTAGGTTTTTCCATGTCTCTATTTTGAAAGCCAATAGAGATTGACCAGGTAGATAATGTGATACCTTTTATTAAGCCAAGAAAGAAATTGTAATACAGATGCCTCCAGGCCAAAATGTTCTTATGAAAGTTAAATGCTAAGCCAACTTCCCAGTCGTGAA